TTTCCCTCCAATTTTAATTTATTCTTGTATAAATGGATGTTAACCCAATAAATAAGTTGAATTAATTAATTATTTAGCTTATCTTTATAAATAAATGAATTGTATTTGTATTTTCACGTGTTTCTATATTTTTCTGCATTTCCGAAACGTTTTTGTTTTTTAGCTGACCGAAACGGTACTTCGAAACAATATTTCGATCCTTGTCGAATACTAAGTTGAAACTTGAATAATTGTATATTAAGGTTTAGGAAAAGACAAAAAAAAAAGGAAGAAAGAGATTATGAAACAATATTATGTATATGGTGAATGTTGCCAACACCCAATCACCTATTTATATTATATCATATCGGAGGCTGGATGGTAAGCTTATCTATCTCATAGTAACACAACCTGACATTACCTATGTTGTTGACGTGGTTAGTCAGTTCATGTATGGTCCTAGTAAGCCTTATTGGGAAGTATCTATCGTATTCCTCGGTATCTGAAAGGAGCACCGGGTAAAATATTATTATATCAAGCTTCACCATCCATGACTATCATTGGATTTTCTAATGCCGACTGGACAGATAGTCATGCTGATAGAAGATCTACTTCGGGTTACTGCACATTTAATGGGGGTAATCTTGTTACTTGGTTTACCAAGAAACAAAATGTAGCTGCCCATTCAAACGCAGAGATTGAATATTGGGTCATGACTCAAATTGCATATGAGATGTTGTGGGTTCGTTCTTTACTTCATAATATGAGTATAAGTGTGTCATTTCCTATAAAGAAGCACTGTGGCAATCAAGCAGCTACCTTCGTTGCCAATAATCTGGTATATCAGGATAAAACAAAACACATCGAAGTGGATTGCCATTTTATTCGAGATCTCTTAATGCGAAAGGAAATTACCACACCATACATCAAGTCTAGTGATTAGTTGAGTAATATCCTTACTAAACCATTGGCTCGATCTATTTTCACTAATCTTTGTTTCAAGTTGGATATCTTTGATCTTTATACTCCAGCTTGAGAGTGAGTGTTAGAGTTCTTAATTTTATACTATTAGTTGTATAGGGTAATAATGTAATTACTAAGATTATCAGTTTATTATAAATAAGAAAGTGTAGTACAACATAGACTACACACTGATTATTCTCTTTTTATTTGTTTCTCTTCTTCCTTCTCACTTTTCTCCTAACCTTAGGCTGAACCCAAAATTCCATGGTTATGTCTTGAATATTGCATTTGATGAGACCAAGAATTAGTAATGTCATCTATTTTTGCAACAACAAAGAAAATTAAAGATGCAGTAATGAAGAACCTCTACAAAATTGGGAAACATAGCTCAAATTTATGAATTGAGACGTCAGGTCCATAATAGTACACAGGATGTCATAGCTCAAGTTGTTTACTTTCACATGCTTTGAGATCGTTGACGAGAATTTCTCGACAACATGTTTTGCAGATGATTCAAAGGCCCATTAGATGGTCCAATTGGTCTTGGGTATAAAGATGTTTGTGTTTATATTTTAGTCAAAAACTACTTCTTTCTCTTATGGATATGCATGCTTATATTAAGAGTGAAGAGGTTAGAAGGGGTGGGATGATGCAACCTGGTGTAAAGGAGATATGTGTACTCATAGCAGCTTCCAATAAGATAATAAAAGGGAAAGAATTGTAACAAGGGTCAATCTGTGATCTCAGCCATGACAAATGGACTTGTTGGAGACTCACCACTGGTGATCCATCAACTGGTCAAGGTGGTGGTTTAAGTAGTAACTTTCGTAATCATGCTCACCATGCTATTGCAACCAAGTCTACTAGGAATACTCCTTTGACTGAAATCCTTCCACTTCAGATGTAGAGACTCCTACTAAGGATCAAAAATTTTCAGGCGTTCTATGTCTACAGTGGATACATCCACAACTGCTTCCACCTCTTACGCTCATTCTAGTGACCTAACTACTTCCTTCAATGCATCAAGTGATATTTCACATTCCTTTGGATTATTCATTCAGAGACATCAGATCATGTGAATGATCAGCGTTAATTTTTCTCTTATGGTCTTACCAGAGTTGTTTGGCCCCAGTCAAAGTCGTTGATCGTTCTCCATCATCTGTTTCTGGTAAAAGTTCAAATTATGTGCCCCATCCAGGTCCTTGCCTTTGTTGTTACAATTGTCCAATAATCTAACTTGGTACCGGAGCGTCAATAAAATTTAACGTCTCAAAGTCGTCGAAAATAATCAGAAAATCATCTCCGTTAACCAGCAGTGTGCCTGTCAGATGCTGACATGCTGATGTCAATGTTAGCATTACAGGCTGCCTTCAGCAATGAACTTTGTCAGATTTTGTCGATTTTCTCAAGGCTGGATCACTTGAGTCTCAGGAGTATAATGGTTATTTTTCTGAAATTTTTTTACAACATATGACGGCTCTTTCGATTTTTTAATGATTTTTTGAATTTGTTGGCCCTAGATCTTCCATTTTTGAGCCATTTGAATGCTAGTTTTGGGTTAGATCCACTCAACTAGCCTCAATTAGGCTTGTTTTAGATTGCCCACAGCTTTTTGTTGAGATTGGATTGGTTTTTTTAGGATTTTAGGCCAAACAGTGCATCGACAGCACCGTTTTGCTCCTGTTCTGCGATTTTCTTCAGCGGGAAACGACTTTGTTCTTTCAATGAGTATTTAGGCTCGATTAGGGCTATTGTGGAGAGCCCACAGCTTTTTGCTAGATTCAGATTGGTTTTGAGGGCTATTTTGCTCAAACAGTGTTTCAACAGCACTGTTCAATGTTGGATTTTAGCCTCTCTTGCCTCTGGTCATTATACACTGTACAGAGGCTACTCAAGCCTCGTTTTGCATCGGGTTGTTCCACCAATACCTTTGGATGCTATTAGCATATTTTTTTATTGTGGGCTACTTCTTTGATAGTATTTTTCTTCTCAGATCAGCTGATTCAGATTTGGGCTTATCAGTGATGCCCAATTTCCTTTGTTGCATTTAGATTGGATCTATGCAATTTTGGGAGAATTTCTTGAAATCGGCATTGGGTTTTTGGCCTGTCCAAAAATTTGTTTATCCACTGTCAAGGCCTTTTTTCAAGTTGAGGCATATTACTTGGGCTTTATTTGCTTACTGGTTTTGTGTTATTTTTTGTGACTATTGTTAGTGTTGACTATTTTGCAGGTTTTATAATTTGTCATTGTCATTGTTTGATCCTATTGTGTGAACATGTTGGAAGGGAGTGTAACCTCCAGTAATTTCACTCAAGATGAAAACCAAACTCTTCAGCGTCTGATGGCTCGAATTGATGTTTCCACTGCTACATCTCCTAATCCTACCTTCCTCTTCCAACTTTGCTTATACATATATATCTACTAGTGTGTCTGTTGTATCATCCTCGTGTACTCCTTGGAAAATATATTCTAGAGCCACAGATCACATGACAGGTACTTATAGACTTTTCTCTTCATATTCTATTTATTCTGGTAGGAATAAAGTTAAGGTGGCAGAAGGATCTTTATCCTCTATTTTTTGGAAAAATTCAATTAATTGTTCCCCCTCTTTATCTCTCTCCACTGCTCTTCATGTTCCTAATTTCTCCACTAATTTATTATCAGTTAGTAGTATTACCACTGTGATCACCCACAAACACTGAGAGACCTCCAGATCGATCAAATCTGAAGCAAGTCGAACACACCCAGACCAAATATGGAGCAGTCGAACACACCCAGACCAAATATGGAGCAGGCGAACACAACCAGACCCAAAAAAATAGTGCTTTTGGCACTTGTTGCTCACAAAAAACACCTCGAATCTAGCCAAACAAGCCTGGCCAGCTCAAAGACCTACTCTTCAGTCCAAATAGGCACCCATAGATGTAGATCCAAGAAACAATCCAGCCAAAAAAGTCTCACAGCAGTAGATCCGGTCAAAACAAATCCAGCAAACCCAAAACCAGATCCAGAGAAAACGAAGCAGATCCAACCAACTTAGATTAGTCTGCAACCTGTCCAGAACCAAAAAGAGTAGTTTCGGCACTGTTTCTGCACAAAACTGTCCAAAAAATAATCCAATAGGGGCTGGGTAACTCAAGAATCTCCTCTAGGGGCCAAATCGGTACCCACGGGTTCTAATTCAACCAACAATCCAGCCCAAAAATCCAAAAACCAGTGGATCTAAAAAATAGAACCTATTTTCCCGAAAAATATACGAAAATAGAAAACAATACTCAGATAGCTACAAAAAAATACACAAAAATCACAATAGTAATTAGAAGAAGATTTAGAGCCTAGAGGTGGTCGTCTGGTGTCCCTACGATGATGATGTCATGCTGACATCAGCAAACAAAAACACGTCCCAAGTCTTCTACGATGTTCTCTGATACTATGCAGTGTCGAATTAGTGCTTTGATACTAAGTTGAATTAGTAAATATGGTATTAGGTGTGTAAAAAAAAGAGAATGTGATTCGTCTAAAGCATATTGAGATTGACAAACACTTTTATCAAAGAGAAGCTCAAAGTTGGCTCCATTTTGTACAACGTATATGCAGACTGAAGATCAACTTGCGACCATCTGGATGGATTTCATATCCAAAATAAGCCTAAAAATCTGCTCTTTGAGTGCTGACAGTTGTTCATTTGTTTAATATTATGTATATACTTTTCAAGACAAAAATAGTTGAATGATCAGCCAACTATTTTCAGAAAAGAAATGTCTGATCACCCCCAAAGTCATATGATAGGGCAGCAGATGGGAGATTTTCAATACTAAGATCCTACCTTCACTAAATAGTAGAGATTCACAAGATTCCTTAGATTTATTTTTTCTCCTTTCCATTCAGTGGAAAGTTGGTTATGATTTTCTCCCACTTGAAATAAACAACGAACCATTTTAGCTAGTCATCCAGTACAATGCTTGATACCATACGATATAAAGTAGTTGAAAGACTGTGAAATCAGGAAACTTACATGTTACTCAAAAGCATTGACCTTGCTCCAGTGATACCCATAACACGTAAGTCAATGTTAAATTTTTCCTTCAGGATTGCTGCCTGTCATAATTGCTAAATCATGTTAAGCATCGGTTACTAAGATGTAGGATAGCATTTGCAAGGACCAGTTCACGAGAAAAATCTCTATCAATTAGAAGGTCAAAACTTTCCAAAATCAGCACTACCAATTTACATGGAATTTAGAAATTAAGCCATGCAGAGTAAAATCATAGCTGATGAAGTGATACTTCAAGGCTAACCATCTCTTTTTAGGAGTACAAATTTGTCAAGCAGCATTGTCAGTACAAAATAGATTCTAATTTGCATACCCATTGAAGATATTGTCTACTTCAACCAACAATATTGCTTTGTTCGTAGAAAAGAAACGTTTTTGACTTCAAAAATCAAGGTATATATGACATAAGCCTGCAATATCAGTTCACAGTACTCAAGCAATACAATGCTACAGTTGGGCCTTGCTGTGTATGCTTGCTTGTCCTTCCAGGACCCATGGCTCTATATATCTTCCTGCTGTTGTCATTTTGGATGCAGGATCCACACGTCGCAATGAAGTTTGGATCCATATAACAACCCAATTAAAAGGCAAAACTTCTAAAATCTGATTGAGATGCAAATTTCATAAGAACAAAGACTAGAAACCATATGTTCGAGCACAATCAGTCCAGAAATCGCAATTTCCAACAAAGCTTCAGCTCCACTAGTTATGGGACTCAAAAGTGGAGTCCTAACAAGAAAGAAGCACAGAAATTAATCTGAAATTTGGACTCTTCCAAGAACTGCTTTTTATATTCTAAAACATGTCTACAACTTTTATTGATCAACTAATAAACTTTACTTCCAGCTTCATACTGGGAACTATATAATGAAATAAAAACAGATTCTGGAGGTATCAATGAAAAAGGTTCATCAAGCCAGATTGCCCCATATGAAACTCGTATATGACTCTGGTTAGTGCCTCTGGTGCTTCGAAGAATCATGGCACATTAATCATTTTACAGAATTATAGGAATGAAAGTCAAAACATATGGAATACCTCTACATGTCTTCTGTTCATACATTCCTGTGTCCAAAGGAGGACAAGCATGTAAGGCTCTCTTCTCCCCTACTTATGCAGGAAGGAGCTTACAATTCCTATACTACGCATCATTAAAAAGTTTATACAAGGCCATGTTCCAATTCATACAAGCCTGAGCTGTTCAACAATCCAATTAGATGTGGAACATTGAAAATTTCAAGGTTCTTCCACTTCGAGCATGCGATACCACAAAGCAGTTAATAGTCACAATATAAAACTCCATCAAGTGCACCTCCTGATAAAGTCAAAAGGTCAGTACTCTAAATTAAATTTGCCTAAAAGGGTCAAAGTTAAGTCACAAAGACCTGATTGTTAATGATTGCTGAATATACTCACTGGGAGGTGTTTGAATACTTTCCACATTTACCCTTCTACTGCATAACAAAATTTAACAGCTTAGAGTTTTTAGCTCTACTGACATGACAACAAAAATTCCGAGTGCTACTTATCCAGTTCAATCAAACAACACCAGATCTAGCTTCTGATAGAAACAATAAATGTTGAAGAGCAATGGATGAGAGATAAATATTAATTCACATTTTCGTTCCAAAAGATTAGTCACAAACTAGAACTGGAGGGTTGGAGGAAACATCCTCTATAGATTCAAAGAAGGAAAAATGGAGTCAGAATGCTCCTGGGAAATCAAGTGTACCAATTATGTTAAAGGGGAACCTACAAGGTCAACCTGTACACCCATAAAAAAAAAAAAAAAAAAGGTGGAAATAAGGCTGCCGAAACTGATGAATAGCAGGATAAGAGAAAATACAACCAGAAATGGTCATAGTGAGAGGTTAAGGTAATCACTAATCGAGGAGAAGAAGAGAAGAAGTGGTCAAATGGTTTGATGAAGTCATGAGAAGATCATTTGAAGAACTGGAGTGGCTCTGGTTGAAGGCAATACTTATTTTTAGTCTGGACCAGATAGAGCATAGATGGCCTGACGGATTTGTGTAGTTTACATTAGGCTTCTTTTAATGAAGATGAGCCACACGGCACATTTCTATAGTATACAAAAGTAAAAGGGCCAAAGAAGGGTATAAGTTCCTGGATCCAAAAGACATTTTTGGATACGTTTGAGATTGTATCCACGTTAAAGGACAATTGGACTGGTTTCACGTCTCCAATAACAATTGAAATCCAAGTACAAACAGGAAAATAACAACAGTTGATATGAAAGATGATAATCCGACACCAAAATATGTGAAGTGACAGAAGCATTAACGATGTACCTGATCCCTGAGCTGGTCAAGCAATGTGCCACCAATCAAACCGGGTCCAATCAGACCCATCGCTATTGTAGTTCGTGACAGATAAAATCTCGAGTGCACAGCTCGTAGGGCCCTAATGCAATCTTCTCGTTTAACAACTACAGTAATATTATACTCTGAGCAACCTTGAGCAATTGCACGGACATTGATACTAGCCTGCATAAAAATAATTTTTGTTTATAGTTACGAGAAATTTACATGAAATGTACTTATAAACAAAAATATTGAGTTCCACTGGTGTTGACAATTGTTGCCCAAAATAGACAATCACCATAACATAAAAACTTGTATTAGTACCCATGGAAAAAATTCAAACCATTACTAGTACACAAAGGTAATCCTGGGTCGCCCTATTGACACACTACAAATTTTTGTAGCATACATGCAGTCATAGAGCGAAACGCTTGAAACTAAAAGAAAATAGAAATAATGTTCCACAAAACAAAATAGATATCGTCATACAAATTACCAAAAAAACAAATAAATTCCCAAACCTTTGCAAGTGCATTGAAAAGTGTAGCACTAACTCCAGGAGTGCTTGCCATTTTCTGGCCAACTGCTGCCAAAATGCTACAGTTTGGAATAACCGCAACCTGAGAAGAGCTGAATTCATTCAACGTGGAAACTGAGAAAGAAATCTCATTAAAACAGACATGATGACAACATCTGTGTATGCAGGAAGGAAGTTACATGAAATGAACAAGCAAGGTAAGATGAAGATGGCTTTAGCCCATGTTTATAAAATAGACAGAACTAAACATATCTTAGTGACTAAGTGTGGAACTAAACACACTTGCACATAATATTTGCAACAACTGGGTCACTGCCACTCATGAGAGTATGAATTCTTTCTTAAGGTTCATTCCCACAGGTAACTAAATAAAAATAAAAATAAAAAACAATAACATAGATTAGGTACAAATTAACCAAACAACTAAAGGTCATACAATGGCAGCATAATGCCCATGCATTGGTATCTTTAAGAGGCATGCCTTCAAAAGCATATCAAATCAATCTTAATTCATTGGAGCACATTGAGCCAAATGGAATCTCAACCCCCCCCCCCTCCCCTTCCCAAACAAAACCCCAAAACAAAAAGAAAACATAAGAGGATATTTTATTATTGACGGAAAGATTGAAACCAAATTTTCGTATTGTGTGAAGGTGCACCAGCAAGATACTGGATACCTTGTTTTTGGTTTACCCAATTGTGAGAGAATTTTGACCTTCAATTTGTAATTAAACTATTTACAATAGGATTTCCCAAGTTTACTTTGTCCCTTTAGCTTGCGTGTATTTCTTTTTTTGGAGTGTATTAAAAAAAGCTGCCTTAAACTGTGGTACCCCAACTGCAATGTCAATTTAGGATGATCAGAAGAGGATGCTTCAAAGTACTTAATCCAACATCCAGCAGGACTTTAGAGAATCAGGATCTTAGACACTTAGAGAACGCTAACCATCCTAAATCTCTTTTTATCTTCACAATTACTGAACTTAAAAACATTTAGAGTTGCACCATTTCACTCCTCGTGGCACATGCATAAGCATCTCAGGTGCAGATTTTTCTTCCTTGATAGGAAAGTTGTGACCAACACCACACCGAGTAACTGATGCTTTGGTTTTCACATGAAGATTATGCTTCCTTACAGAGTCATTACTTGCTAAACTGCTTATAATTGTCTGAAATTTGAATGGCTTGTCATTTCTTTAATTGTACTACAAAATGCCCGGAAAACATGATACAATAATCGATAACTTGTTAGGAGAGGGAATTTTTGTTCCTCAAGGAACTTTTGTTTTTAAGGTGGATTTTGAAAAAGTTTATGATAAGGTAGATTTGGATTTTTTGAATTATTTTATGGAATGTAAAGGATTTAGTTTGAGATGGAGAAAGTGGATAATGGATTGCTTAAACTCGATGAATTTCTCGATTATTGTTAATGGCAAAAGGGTTTTTTCAAAGCTATTAGACGTCTTAGATAGGGAGATCCTCTCTCACACTTTCTTTTCACTTTGTGGTGGATGTGTTGAGTAAGATGGTGGATAGGGCTAGTAGTAGAGGGGAGGTGGAATGTTTTAAAGTTAGGAGAGCAAGAGTGGAAATGCCACATTTACAGTATGATACTATTTTTTCCTATCGTAAACATGAAAAGAATATTAAGATGATCTCTCTAAAGTTGAGATGTTTTGAGTTGGCATCAGGTCTGAAAGTGAACTTGTCTAAGAATGCAACTAGAGAAATTAATTTACAACAAGAGAAGTTAGTTAGGTTGGCAAGAACTTTGGGATGCTCTATTTCAGAATGGCCACTTAAGTATTTGGGATTTCCTTTAGGGGATAACCCAAATTCCTTAAGTTTTTGGGAGCCAGTGATCCAAAAGATTGGGAAACGATTAGATAGCTAAAAGAAAGTTTATTTGTCTAGGAGAAGCAAAGTCATCTTAATTCATTCAGTACTTCGAAGCATTCCTCTTTATTATATGTCTCTATTTAGGATGCCTTTGAAGGTGATGAAAAAGATAGAAAAGATGATGAGTAATTTCTTATAGGAGGGTAGTGGAGAAGGTAAGAGAGATCATTTGGTGAAATGGGACTTGGTATCCTGAACCAAAAGGAAGGGGATCTTGCTTTAGGCAACTTTAAGGCTAGAAATATTTCCTTGCTTACCAAATGGTCATGGAGATTTCCCATTGAGATGAATTGTCTATGGCATGCTGTGATCAAAAAAAAATATAGAATTCAACAAAATGGGTGGGATTCCAAAGTGAGTGAGAGAGGGTGTTCTTGTTGCCCTTGCAAGTACATTTCACAGTGCTTATCTACTTTCTCTATCTATGTTAAGTATGGCATGGGTAATGGAGAGAGAATTCGATTTTAATAGGATACTTGGGTGGGGTAAGGGGGTTCATCCTTTGCATCCATGTTTCCTCGCTTATATAGATTGTCTAGAAATCATCACTCCTCTATTTCAAGTATGACATGGAATTAGTTGGAATTTTGATTTCCTTAGAAACCTTAATGAGAGAGAGGTTGCTAAAATGTCTTCCGATTTAGGTATCCTTGATAATGTTGTGTTGGATCCTTCGTCTTTAGACCGAAGAACATAGAACCTTTCTTCTTTGGGAGAATTTTCTTGTAGATCTGTTTTTGAGGCCTTGATTGATAACCATGTTTCTCAATTTTCAAACAATCGTTAATACTTTGTAAGTCCAAGGCTCCTTTAAAGGTACAAGTTTTTGCTTGATTGCTTGCACATAAGAGACTCAATATCAATTATGTGCTACAAAAAAGAAGAACTTCATATTGTCTCTTACCACAATAGTGATCTATATGTAAAGGTGGAGAGAAAAGTACGGATCACCTTTTTTCACATTGTTCCTATGTCTACAAATTGGGGAGGAGGTTGTTGGGACAGTTTGGCATTCCTGGGGTGACTCCAAATGATTGTAATTCGATATTTGAGATTCCATTTGATGGCTTTGGTCAAAGTAATAAAGCTAAGATTTTATGGAAATGTTTTTATCGCACTTTCTTATGCCTCATGTGCATTTTTGCTAGTGTTTCTATGAGCATCATTTAGTCATGGCCACTGGCATCAACAACAATCTATATGATTTTCTTTTATCACATAAACCTTTGATGGCACTCCAATGCCTCAATAATTTTTGTAGTCAGATCTGATTTGGAAGATAGCATGGATTACCGATATGGTGGAGAAGTAAGGATCAAAAATAAGATTATTTTGGTTGAAGTGAATGATAATTACAGAGCATAGGGTTTTAGGCTTACAAAAAGAAGCTGAGATGCGAATTTTTCAATTGCATGATTGTAAAAGGTGGTTGGAGAAGCTGCAAATGAAATGGAGCATGATTTCTTCTATAGGCAGATTTGTGACAACAAATATAAGATGTGGGTAGAGTCTGGTAGAAATAATAGAGGCGTTTTCTTAACAATTTCCATTATTCAAAGCATGGGTAATAGAAGATTCATTCTGATACCACTGCCAGTGAATCAAAACGGATGGAAAGAATTGGTAAGTATAATAAATAAGGTGATGCTGGGTGGAAATTACGGGAGATGGGCAAATGTTGTAAGAAAGGATGGGATTAGTTTGAGGAAGGAGAAGAGTGGGGAGGGAAAAGCGAACGCAAACAAGGAGGAGGGGAATCTTTTAACAATCCATGGTTCTGGGTATGGTTTCAAGCCACAGATGAATCTTGGAGATGGGTATGGTAAATGGGTTCGGGCAGTAGTATGTACAAGAGAAAGCATTTTCGACTCTTGGAGATTGATTCGGATTGCTTTGTGTAATAAGTTCAATTTCAAGATTCATCTAGAACCGTTTTAAGTGGACAAAGCTGTCATTATGTGTGATAATGATGCAAAAGTTGAAGAGGTATGCATAATTGTGCAGTGTTGCTTGGAAGGAAGTAGCATAGTGAGATTAACAACGTGGGTGCCAGTGGCAAATATAGGGAGAAAGTATCCTTCTTAGGGGGCTGGATTGTTGTTGAAGGACTGTCATTTCATTGCTGGGATGAAGGAGTGTTCTAAAAGATAGGTGCATATTACAGTGGATATATCTAAACCCATAGGGATACACTAGTTATGTCTAATTTGATTCAAGCAAAAATCAGAGTTGGGAGGCTTCAGTTTGGATTTATTCCAACGTCTCTAAAAGTGGAATTTCTAGGGGATGTGTTTATCATTAGAATTAGAGTGATTTTGAGGTTAGGCACTTTGTTTTCCAAGAGTCAGACAACAAATTTGCAAAGAGATAGCATGGAATCTCAGTTCTACACACAAAAAGTTAAAGATGAGAGGTTTCTAATTTTGGGATACGTGGCACTTTAAAAGGTAGGGATGATACTAGTGTTGGTGAACCAAGAAGTAGGGACAGTTGATGGCGTAGCCACAGGATGGTTGGACCAGCGTGACCGAATCTAGAAGCCTAGGTAAAAGGCTAAGAGTTTTTGGTCCAAAGAAAAATGTACTTGGTAGATTTGTTAGAATTTTTATTTATTATTTTTATTATTTATTATTTGAATTTCTAGTTAGATAATATTTATCAAATTGAGATTAGTAGCGATAAGTTGATAAAATTTTAGTAGAGTAGTTCATTTATGATAGGACACTTGGTCTATAAACAAGGATGTATTCTACATTATTTTAGTCAGAATTCAATATTAGTTTGAGAATTATCTGTGGAGATTTGTGTTTCTTGACCTAATCCTTGCGAGAATTCGGTATCCCCTTTCTTTCCCTTCTCTCTCTGCATCAATTGATATTAGAGCAAAACTCCGATCCACAATCTCTTCCATTTCTCTCCTTTTTTGCTTCTCCAATCAATCATCAATTTTACAGTTCACCATTATAGCCATTATTCTATCCATACTGCCATATTTCTTGCCTTCAGTGATTTTGAGAGTTGCTTCAAAATTCTTTAGCCATTTTGATTGCAGACTCTTGCCGCAATTGATTTTTGTTGGCATTGGTGTTGTCTGATTGTGTCAATATTTTCTCCAATTCAAGAGTCAAACTAGAGCCCATTGCTTTTCTTTCCCAAGTGTAAACCAAGAAGACACATACAGTAACCACATCCCAATCCATAACCATATCAGCCCAATCCATATTTCAAACACCCAAGTGATCCAATTACAAAACAGCCCAACCCCATACCAAACCAAGCCCAACAAAACCCCGCCCATTGTAAATTTCAGATCTTACCCCAGCACTTTCAAAATTACACAAACACCCCAAACCTTCCTAAAATTATAGATTTTACCCCTGACATTTTTAAAATTACATTTATCCCCCAAGATTTCAAAAATTACACTTTGACCCTAAAAATTTCTAAAATTTGATTTTTTACCCCCAAAAGTTCCTAAAATTATAGTTTAACCCCAAAATTCCTGCAACTTTTCAAGTCACCCAATCCATCAAGATGGTCTCCAACACCGAATTAAATGCTAAAGTGGAGGTGTTATCACAAGCACAAGCTAATTCACAAAAGGCCATGAATGAGAGGATGGATTCACTAGAGGTGTACATAACATCATTAAAGGAGATGATGAAAGCTTATCTTTTAGATAAGCAGGGTAAAGGAGTTGAAAAAAACATTGAGAATAATCCATCATCAATCTGCCACAGGTACAATCCCCTCCCTCCACCACGAGCTCAAGTTCAAGAAAAATCTAGATTATTTAATATTGATAAAAGAGTTAAGCTAGAAGTTAGAGATTTTCATGGGGAGAATAATCCCGAGACATTCCTTGATTGGTTGCATAGCCTTGAAAGCTTCTTCAGATGACATCATTTGACTGATGGGAGAGGTATTCTTAGCAAAGTCTAAGTTAAAGGGTGGAGTAAGGCTTTGGTGGGTAAAGTACCCACAAACTCACTTTGATAGATCATGAGATGATATGAAAATTGATATGACTCGTTACTTTGTGTCTATTAATTACAAGCAACAAGCTCATCTACAATTCACACAGTTGAATCAAGGAAGCATGTCAGCCGAGGAGTACAATGGAAAATTCTACAGCTTGGCCACCCGATCAGAATTCTCATGGATTGAGGATGTAATGATCGTCATGTATAGGCAAGGGCTCAATTCGAAGATTTCTTCAGGTGTAGTTGCAAGTCGTCTTTACACTAGAGGGGATGCAGTTCACATTGCCTATCAAATGGAAGATGATCTGAAAAAAGGGCTTCTTTGAGGTCTTCTAGGGTGTCTACAACTCAAAGTGAAAGGAATTTTGTGGATGCAAATTTCGGTAAGTCAATTGGTAAACCACAAGAGAGTGCTTTTGTCCCCAATAAACCAACTTGCCCCGATGTTACTTCTAATTTTCAAAGGGGTGCTAACCCTAATGCCAAGACAAGATGCTTTAATTATCAAGGGTTTGGTCATCTGTCTTTCCAATGCACTATTGTTGCGACAATCGAAAAAAAAATCCCCAGGGAGGCTAAAAAATCTAATGAGTCAAATTCTAAAACTTAAGTTGCGGCGCCTCTTGATGTTAATGAGGCTGATTTTGATGATTTGATTGACGGCCATATATTGGATGATATTCACCCTCTATCAATTGGAAGTAAAGTTACCACTGAGAAGCCTAAGTGTCGACGAAAAAAGACTTCATCATGGATTCCTTGCCTTACTCGCAAGAGTCGAGTTTCTTACAGAGAGGGAGAATTGTTGGTGTAGTCATAGGATAGTTGGATCAACGTGACCAAATCTAAAAGCCTAGGTGAAAGGCTAAGTGTTTTTGGTCCAAAGGGAAACATACTTGGTANGTCGAGTTTCTTACAGAGAGGGAGAATTGTTGGTGTAGTCATAGGATAGTTGGATCAGCGTGACCAAATCTAAAAGCCTAGGTGAAAGGCTAAGTGTTTTTGGTCCAAAGGGAAACATACTTGGTAGATTTTTAGGATTTTTATTTGTTATTGTTATTTTTATTATTTATTATTTGAATTTTTAATTAGATAGTATTTATCATATTGAGATTAGTAAGGATAAGTTGATAGAGTTTTACTACTAGAATAGTTTATTTATGATAGGACACTTAGTCTACAAATAAGGATGTACTCTACATTATTTTAATCAGAGTTGAATATCAATTTAAGAATTCTCTGCGCAGATTTGTGTTTTTTAACCTAATCCTTGTTAGGATTCAGTATCCCCTTTCGTTCTCTACCATCTCCGCATCAACAATATTTTCGGCGTAAATGGAGAATTGAATTTGGATATTTGGCCAATTTGTGCTCAGAGAATAAATGATGGTGTTAATGATGATTTGGTTTCTATTAACACTTATTTGAATTTTGAATTGTACGATAATGGAGTAAATTTGGGGGTATCAACTGCAACTCTTAAGGTTGTACATCGGGAATCTGGTCTGGACCACCGTAGTAACAAGTCAAATGCATGCCAGTTGTTAATGAAAGAGGGCAACACTGATGGGCTTGAAGTCAGAGGTCCAGAAAATCTGGGCAAGCCCAAAGGTTGCAGTTAATTAATGAGGAGACAGACTTGTGTTTGATCAGCCTGCAATAAAATTGGGTCATTTAAAGTCAAGAAGCCTAGAAATTTTAAAAGGCTTTTTGTTCAAAAGTCAAACTTGACCCAAGAAAAAGTGGACCAAGTTAGGTTAAAAAAAGGAGTAAGGGATTCAATAATTTATGTTTTCCATGAACAAGGCGAACCAGAAGATACTTCTGGAGACAACATCGATGCACAAGTTCCTAAGATAGACAAATTAGCTACTAGAGATAATTTTTATGGTTCTTCACGCAATATCATAGAGTATTTTGACAATGTAGGTCAGTTGGTTATGGGTAGAGCAGATGACACAGATCTATTCGAAGGGTTTGGTGTCAAAAACTTTTTAGAGGAGGATGTGATGAATGATAAGTCGACAAAGGGCATAGATGAAGGTGATGAAGCTTCTAAAAATAGTTCCAAGATGGTGGAGATCAATACTGAAGTTAGTGATTTTTTGGTAAGGAATGGGAATGACGAATAGTGGACAGTGAACAGGAGAGCTACGAAGGAGAAAATAAAAAATTTCATTGGCACAATTCAAAGCAGAGTGAATGATGATGATGGAGATATAAGGTACTCTTTAGAGGAGAATCTGGAGTATGTCTTGCTATATTAGCTCAGTCTAATGTTCATACTTGCAGTAATCCACTGCTCAGTAGTTTTCCTGAGTCAACACATGGGGGATTTCTTTTGGCAAAGGACCGAGTTATTTTCTTCTGTTTCCTGGAAGAGTATTAGTCCTAGGGGCATCTGGATAGGCATACTGAGAGTTACAAGTTTGTGTCTGACAGATTGGCATCTATGGGCAGAGATAGAGGACCTCAGTCCCTTTAGAGGAATCAAATGTTTGTTTTGGTGGTCGTGGTTTGTGTATTAATGATCATAATATCATAGATAATATTTCTATTGGGGAATCCAAGGCCATTGTCCCTATAGCTAATACTTAAGTTGTGGAATAATAGAGATGAATTCGTAGAGGGGGAGAATGAGGGGTATTGCTTGTCTAATGATGAAAAATGGTCAATTTTGAAGAAATTTTTGGAGAAGATGGACTTGTCCTTAATATACAATAGGCAGAAAGGTAGGAAGAGAGATGGAAGGATAAGTGGGAGAAAACCAAAAAAGATATAGGAACCAAGGATTAAAATTTCGTTTCAGTACATTATTTCGGTCACCTATGAAATGAAAATGTTTCGACATATTTCGGAAAAGTTCAACCCATTTCAAAAACTGAATGTCAAAAATAAAATATTTAAAAATTATTTTTTCAAAACATTAGTCGAAATATATCAATTTCCAATATAATTGTGCAAATGCATTGAAAAATAATAATATTTTGAAATATTATGAAACATCTCGAAGTATTAGAATCCATCACTAATTCATTTCGCTCTCCTTAGAAATGAAAACGTTTCGGATATGTCAACCATTCGAAATGATATTTTGATCCTTAATAGGAACTTAGGAATTTAGAATCAGGTATTAATTATGATAGAGTGGTAGGTAGAAAGGATGACAAGGGTAGTGATCGTCTTCAATGAAGATCATTAGTTGGAATGCTAGAGGATTGGTGTCAAAAAAGAAAATAAGTCCTATAAAGGATATGCTTTGAAGGAGAATCCAGAAATGGTGATTTTACAAGAATCCAAAAAGGAGGTTGTTGATAGGAGATTACTGAAGCGTGTATGGGGTTCTAGATTTAAGAATTGGGTATACTTGACTTCTACTGAGAATCCGTTATGGTGGAAGAATCTATTGAGGGACAATTTTCAATTTCAATAAGAATTAAGGGAATAGATGGAAGTGAGTGGTGATTAACACAGGTGTATGGTCCTAATTGTCCTAGGGAAAGGAAGAGGTTATGGGAAGAATTAACAGGATTGTTTGGCCTTTGTAATCCTCGTTGGTATTTGGGTGGTGATTTCAATGTGGTTACGTATATTTCTGAGAAACTTAATAGGAGTAGAGTAACAAGAAGCATGAGAGATTTTGATTCTTTTATTAGGAAACTAGTTTGAAAGATCCTCTTTTGAATAATGGTACTTTTACCTAGTCAAATATTAGAGAAAATTTGGTGTCATAAATTAATAGGGTTTTTTTTTTTTCAGTTGAGTGGGAAGATTGTTTTCTAGGAGTGAGAAAATGTTCTCCCTAGAGTAGTTTTGGACCATTGTCCTATTCTTTTGGATACTTCTTTAGTTAAATGGGGTCCTGTTCCTTTTAGGTTTGAAAATGTGGTTAGATCATCATATGATTTTAGAGGAAAGTTTAGGAAATGGTCGGGGAAGAGACTCCCTCAAGGATGGGAGGGTTTCAAATTTATGAAAAAGTTGGAAGTGGTGAAACAAAAGGTCAAAATGTGGAATAAGGAGGTTTATGGTGATGTTAGAATAGTAAAAGGATTAATTGTGACTAAAATTGGAGTGATTTATGGGATAGAGGAGGAAAGGGGTCTAGATGAGAGCTTGCCACCCTTGGGGTGATTTATGGGCGATGGAGCGGGTGGATTAATGGATGCCTACAATCAATGAATTTTTATGTTATGATTAATGGGCGGCCTAGGGGGTAGATTCAAAGCAACTAGAGGTTTGAGACAGGGTGATCATTTATCCCCTTTTCTCATTACTTTAGTGGCCGATGGATTGAGAAGATTAGTAAGAAGAGTAGAAACATTTGACCAAGTGAAAGGGTTTTATTATTGTGAGAGATGATATTAATGTATCACATTTACAATTTATCGATGATACTGTCTTTTTTTTAGGGGGAGATGAGGAAAAAGTAAATAATTTAAAAAAAATTGTAAAGGTAATTGGAATAGTGTCTGAATTAAAGATAAACATGGAAGAAAGTTTGATTTTGGGAATTAATTCTTCACTGGATAAAGTTGATAGATTGACACAAATGTTGGTGCGTGGAGTGGGAGAGTGACCTTTAAAGTATTTAGGTCTTCCTTTAGGGGAAATCCTTTATCTTTAGCATTTTAGGACCCTGTTGTGTAAAGGGTGGGAAAAAGATTAGATGAGTGAAAGAAAGCTTATATTTCTAGAGGGGGCAGATTAACACTGGTATAGTTAATTGTTGCTAGCATATCTACTTATTTTTTATCACGCTTTAAAATGTCAAGAAATATTGTAATGAGAATTGAGAAAATTGTAAGGGATTTTTTGTGCGAAGAAAGCAGTGAGGGAAAAATGATCACTTAGTGAATTGAGAGGTTGTCTCCAGAACAAAAGTTAAAGGCGACCTTGCAGTGGGAAATTTGAAGGCAAGAAATGCAGCCTTAACTGATAAATGGCTATGGAGATTCCCATTGGAGCAAAATTCTGAATGATATTCAGTTATTAAGAGCAAATATGGATTATATTCCAATAGATGGGATGCTAAAGGGGCTGACTGAGAAACTTATCGATGCCCATGCAAGTTTATTTCTCAAGGACTTTCGAGATTCTCTCAATATATTACATTCATGGTGAACAATGAGCAGAGAAGTCACTTTTGGGAGGATATTTGGATGGGATCCTCATCTTTTTCATGTATGTTTTCCCATCTTTATCATTTATCTCGTTCTCATAAGTTTTCTATTGCTTTGATGTGTCATTATTCTAATCAATCAGTTACTTGGGATTTTGGATTTTGTAGAAATCTTAATGATAGAGATTTTATAGAATTGGTGCCATTACTATCTTTGATTAATAAGGTTAGATTGTGTCATGAATTAAGTGATAAAAGAAAGTGGTGTCTTGAGTCTTCAGGGTTGTTTTCGTGTAAGTTATTCTTTGACAAAGTAATTGATAATCTTACCCACTGTGTTTTATCCCTTAGTGATAATTTGAAAAGCTAAGGTGCCTACCAAGGTACAAGTTTGTGCATGGATCATAGCTCATGATAAGATAAATACAAATGATGTGCTTAAGAGAAGAAGGTCATTTCTTTGCATTTATCCACAATGTTGCGTCATGTGTGCAAGTGCAAGTGAGACTACTGATCATTTGTTATTGCATTCCCCTATTCCTTCATTCTTATGGTCCAAACTATTTCAAGCAGTTGGTTTGAATTAGGTGACTCCTAGGACATTGTCAACAATGATGATCGAGGATTTCGAGGGATTAGAAAGACACAATAAAGCAATTGAACCTTTGGTGTTGTATTTTTCTTGTCATCATATGGGTAATATGGTTGGAAAGGAACTCTAGGATTTTTTAGAATAAAGGAGAATGGAAGGAAGGTTTATGGTATCACATCTATTTTCTGGCATCATTGTAGGCTTTCATTACGAAGGACTTTGTTGCATTCCGCTTTTTTGTATTTTAGCGGATTGGAAGGTTTCATATGACACATAATTTAATTAGCTGATATTTACATTTTTTCAATATCATTTATTATCATTTTTGTTAAGAGTATTAGAATATTATGTAAATAATAGTTAGTTGTAATAAGTATACTACTAGAGGATATATACGTCTTTTGTATGATCACAAGCCACAACCCAACCCAGTCCTGCTAAAGCCCAAATAAAAAAATGGTCTTGCTGGTCCAAACCTAAGCCTAAGCAACTGTTCCGCTGCTAGTCCAAGTTGGTTCAAACCCAGACTGGTTTAGGCCTAATTTCGTCAGTTCAAGCCTGGTTCCATCCATTCTAATCGGTTCAAGCCCGGTCCTGTCAGTTCAAGCCCGGTTCAAGCCCAATTCTGCCCATTCTAAGCTAGTTCAGGCCCAGTTCCATCAAGTCTAGGCTAGTTCAAGCCTGATTCCATAAGTTTTGCACCGGTTCAGCTGTTCAATAATTCTTTCTTGCCCAGTTCAGTAATCCAACAAGTTTTTCTTGCTCGGTTCAACAATCCAGCAAGCTTCTCTTGCCCGATTCAACGGTCTAGCTAGCTCTTCTTCCTCAATTCAGCCTCTATTAAGGTTCCTTCTCATTTTTACTATTGTTATACTATTATAGAGCCCAAGCAAGACACTACTACGTCTTAGAGGCAAAGGTTTTAAAAAATATTTGGTGACTCTTAAACCCAAGATAGATACTCTTGGGTATGATCTGTGGAAACAAGAGGATGCTCAGATTATCTCTTTACTATTAAATAGANTTAGAGGCAAAGGTTTTAAAAAATATTTGGTGACTCTTAAACCCAAGATAGATACTCCTGGGTATGATCTGTGGAAACAAGAGGATGCTCAGATTATCTCTTTACTATTAAATAGCATTTAGCCTAGTATTAGCTCTACTCTGCTTTATCTTGACACTACCAAAGACATATAGAATCACTTAGCCACTATGTATTCTGGCACTGATAATTTTACCTGAGGTGCGTAAACAGTATTTCTACCTAGTACAAAATACTCTAAGTCTTGAGGATTATTACTCTCACATTCAAAGAGTTTGTGAGGAATTGAAACTTTACTGTCTATTCACTGCTAGTGCACCGGTTTGGCAGAAATAACGTGAGGATTTGAATGTTGTTCGATTTTTGGTAGATTTGAAGCCTGAATATGAGTTTATTCGCTCTCAAATTTTGGGTGGCTCCAATCTTCTCTCTCTACTTGAGGTTTTCTCTCGTTTACAACGTACTACCTTGCCCATGGGTTCTTCATGCATTGATCATGGTGTTTTCACTGATTGCTTGGCTCTTGTTGTTCCTACCGACAACAATGATGGCCATCGGGGTGGACATGATAATCGTGGTGGTCGTGGAGGTCGTATTGGAGGCCGTACTGATAGTCGTGAAGGTCGTACTAGATCTCGTTCCTGCAGTCACTGTGGTCGTGGAGGACACACTATTGATTTCTGTTAGATTTACATGACAAACCTTCCGGTACTGCTAATCAGGTTTACTATCAAGCTAACCCCTTGGTTATTGCTTCTATACCTCGGTCGACCCCACCTGACTCTGGGTCAATTACTCTTATACAGGAAAAGTACGCTCAGTTCCTATCTCAGCAACAGGTCGTTCTATCTTCTTCCACCGCTATTTTTGTCCAATCAGGAACTGTTTCCACTTGTTTATTGTCCTCAACTCACAGTCCTTGGATCATAGACTTTAGCGCTTTTGACCACATGACTAGTACATCCNAGGAAAAGTACGCTCAGTTCCTATCTCAGCAACAGGTCGTTCTATCTTCTTCCACCGTTATTTTTGCCCAATCAGGAACTGTTTCCAATTGTTTATTGTCCTCAACTCACAGTCCTTGGATCATAGACTTTAGCGCTTTTGACCACATGACTAGTACATCTGGTGTCTTTTCTACTTATTAGTCTGATACTTCCACACACAATGTTGCTCTTGCTAATGGTATTTCTTCTAAAGTTTCAAGTTTGAAGACTACTCAATTGAGTCCTGATATGTCCGTATCCTTCGTGTTATTTGTACCTCAATTTTGTTTTAGTTTACTTTCAATAACAAGACTACTCATTTCCTTAATTGTTCCATAACCTTTTATCCCTCTTATTGTGTGTTTCAACATCTCAAGACGAAGAGGAAGATTGATACCGAACATGAAACTGGTGGGGCTCCATTACTTTGACTTTGATTCGCCTACTCAGGCTCCTCAAACCTCGTCGTCTCCTTTTCAATGGCACTATCGTCTTGGTCATCCCTCTCTCTAGAATCTGAAGCATCAAGTTCTAAATCTTAGTTATGTGTCGTATGTGTCGTGTGAAACTTGTCAACTTAGTAAGCATCATTGTGTGTCCTTTTAGTCTAGAGTCAATAATCATTTGCCTAGTCCATTTGACTTAGTACATTCTGATGTATGGGGTCCAATTAAAAAAATTTCATCTACTAAATATCTTTTTTTTGTGTCATTTGTGAATGATTATTCTCGTGTGACATGATTGTTTCTTATGAAAGCTTATTCTAAATTATTCTCTATATTTGAGATTTTTCATAAGGAAATAAAAACTCAGTATAGCTGTCATATTCATATTTTACGTTCTAATAATGCTCAGGAATATAAATTTGATCCCTTTTCAACTTATCTTAGTAAAAATGGTATTATTCATCAAACTTCATGTGCTTACACCTCTCAACACACTAGGGTCGCTGAGCGTAAGAATCGTATCTGTTGGAATCCACCCATGCACTATTATTCAAGATGAATGTTTTTCATTGTTTTTTGAGTGTTGTTGTTCTCACTGCTTATTATTTTATTAATCGTATGTCATCTTCTGTGTTAAATGGACAAAGTTCATATTCTGTCTTTTTCCCTGGTAAATCCTTATTTTCTTGAACCCCTAAGGTTTTTGGGTGTGTTTGTTATGTTCACAACTTAGGCCTAGCGTTTGATAAACTTGACTCTCGTGCTATCAAATATGTCTTTCTTGGATACTCCCGCACACAAAAGGGTATTGTTGCTATAGTCCTTTCCTTCGTCGGTACTTCACTACTGCTGATGTCACTTTTAATGATTCTGTTTTGTATACTTTCGTCGTCCTCGACCATCGACTAAGGTGCCCACACCGTCTCCTAATCCTGGTCCATCAGGTAATTTTGACTTTCTCTATTGCTTTTTGAAAAGGTACTCGTTCGTGTGTTACTATCCCATTACTCATTTTGTTTCAAATGATGTATTGTCTCCTGTCTTCTCTTGTTTTACCTCTCAACTGTCTATTATCTCTATTCCTAAGCACTTACAGGATGCGTTATTTGATCCGGGTTAGAAGAAAGCTATAGAAGTGAAAATTGATGACTTACATCATAATGGGACTTAAGATCTTGTTCTTTAACCTCTTGGTAAACGAATTGTTGGTTGTCGTTGGGTGCATTATATTGTTAAATTTAATCCGGATGGTTCTGTGGAGCGTCTCAAAGCCCGTCTTGTTGCTAAGAGTTTTCCTCAGACCTATGGGGTTGATTATGAGAAAACTTTCTCTCCCGTTGCCAAAATCTCTTATATTCGTATACTGATTTCTTAGGCTGCTAATCTTGATTAGCTCTTGTTTCAGTTAGATGTCAAGAATGTCTTCCAATATGGTGAATTGATTGAAGAGGTCAACATGGAGTAGCCACCTGGGTTTACTACTTAGGGGGAGTACTATAAGCGTGTGTGTTAGTTAAAGAAATCTCAGTATGGTTTGAAGTAGGCACCGAGGGCATGTTTTAGTAAGTTTTCAGATGCAGTTTCAGAGTTTGGTCTTCTTCGATGTCAGTTAGACCACTCTGTGTTTCAAAGACAGACAGATGTCAGATATGTTCTATTGGTAGTTTATGTAGATAATATTGTGATTACTGAAAATAATTCTGAAGGGATTGCCAAGTTAAAATCCTTCCTACAAGACTGATTTCATATTAAAGACTTTGAAAAACTCTAGTATTTCTTGGGTATTGAGATTGCTAGATCTAAACAGGGTATTTATTTATCCTAGAGAAAATATATACTTGACATGCTAGAGGATACAAGTTTGTTGGGTGACAGACCAATTGATGTTCCTATAGATCGGAATTAAAAATTATTAATGCATGATGGTGCACTGTTTGAGAATCCAAGTCGATATCACAAGTTGCTTGGGAAACTCAATTTTCTCACTATTACCCTACCGGATATTTCCTATGCAGTTAGTATAGTAAGTTTATGGGACGCCTAGAATACCACACTGGGAGACAGTTACTTATATTCTGCGATATCTCAAACATGCTCCTGATCTTAGGTCTATTATATCGAGTTAATGAATATCTTAAAGTGAAATGTTTTTCAAATGCTGATTGGTTCGACTCTCCTTTTGATCAAAGATAAGTCACTGGTTATTGCACTTTCTTAGGAGGTAGTATTGTCTCATGCAAGAGTAAGAAACAACCTGTGGTAGCAAGACTCAATGCTGAGGCTGAGTCTAGAGCAATAACACATACAACAAGTGAGTTGACATGACTACTATACCTTTTCCAAGAAATTGGCTTTCCAGTTCAACCTCATTTACAGTTATTTTATGACAATTAGACAGTTATTCATATCGCTGTTAACCCAGTATTTCACGAAAGAACCAAACATACTGAGGTAGATTGTCATTTTATTCGAGACAATATAATAACCAGAGATATTACGACTCCATTTGTGAGATCTAATGATCAACTTACAGATATATTTACCAAAACGTTGAGTCGTACACGTCTTACAACCATTTCTTCTAAACTTGGATTATATGATATATATATATATATAGTCCAGGATGAGGGAGAGTGTTAAGAGTATTAGAGTATTAGAGTATTATATAAATACTAGTTAGTTGTTATACGTATACCACTAGAGGGTATATACGTTTTTTTTATGATTACGAGTTAACTATATATACAAATAATTTGTGAAAGGTAGGTTAAGTTTTTGACCTCTATCGATCTTTCTCTAATATTGTGTTAATTCTCTCGACTTACCAATTTTAAATCAATAAAGTTGTTTTGTTTCCTCCCAAAAAAAAAAAAAAAAATTTTATAGAGATGTGCAATTTTAACTCTTTTTTGGGTGGTGTGATTGGAAAGAAATGGGCGAATTTTTAAAGAGTGAGAAACTTCTTGAGAAGATTTATGGAATAAAATCACTTTCATGTCTTCTCTTTGGGTTACTGCGACGAAGTATTTTTAAGGAATACCTTTTTTTTTAATTAAGGATCATCGGCCTCGTGTGTGTGCCGATAGTTGACGCTTGAGATTTTGTTATTTTGGCTCTTTTGACTATGCTTATAGATTTGCTTTTAATTGCTTTCTTTTACTTTATGTATCTTTTTTGTTTGTAAGTTTTATCAAGAGGATTCCTTGTCCTCTTATCTACTCTTTCATGATTTTTTTCAGGATTAATAAAATTATTAATTTCATGTTTCCGATCAACAAAAGAAAATAATGGATAACATGGGAAAGTGTAAACTGCAATGATATGAGCTCCTATAACTGAACCAAAAAGGGTAAACACCTGAGAAAGGCGCCCAGCATCCAAAGCCTGGCGAAATCTAGATTCCAAAGCCTCAGCTACAGCTTTTACTTCCTTTTCAGGCACAGCAAAGCACACAGAATGCTCACTACTAGCCTGCAATAGACCAAACCAATATTTGTCGTACCTTTCAAGTTTGAAAATAACATTTGAGTATCGAGCAAACATCAGAAGGAGCAGATACCTGGGATATCATGATAACATTAGCTCCCACATCTTTCACAGCACGAAAAATAGCACTTGCTGTACCAGGAACGCCAGCCATTCCAGTTCTGTACAAAGATAATTAGCAAGATGCAATTTAGAACGAAAAAGTAAGATAACTGTATCCTATATTGCAAGACACAAGAATCACCAATCAATGCAATACAAGCTCACCCCTCAACATTTACAAGGGCCAAATTATCTATCGTCGCAAACCCTTTAACCGGAGATTCCAACAGCCAGCCCTCTTCATTTTCCTCTCCAGAAGGCTTGCAGATCATTGTACCAGGCGCAGAAAGGTTGAAGATGTTTCTTATAACAATTGGAATGCCATATTGCATCACTGGAATGATGGTGCGAGGATGTAAAACATTTGCCCCAAAATATGACTGCACGCACATGAAAAAGTTATTGTTCAAAACCGTGTAAATTGGAAGCCTTGGCAAATTTGACAAGTGTAAGAAAAATCAGAAGTTCACCATTTCCCAGGCTTCTTGATAAGACAATGTCTTCAGTATCACAGCCTCACTAACTGCAGATAAAATATTCATTAAATGGCAATCAAACTCCACTTCAACATCTAAATTATAAATTCCATAAAATTACATTCAATCCTTAAAACACTTTCACAGGACAAATAAAGAGGCAATAGATCCTTTGATAAAATGAGTAGAATCAAACCAGTTTTCAATAAGTAACGAATGGATTCAGTATAGCTATTTATCTAGATTGTTGGGAGGTAGTTAAAGAGGATTTAATGCAAGTATTTGAGAATTTTTTCAAAAGGATGAGCTCGCAGGAATTACCAATGCCACCTTTTGTTGTCTCACTTCCAAAAAGATAAGTCCTTGAAAATGAGGGACTTTAGGCCGATCAATTTGGTATCTACCCCTATAAGATCATTGCAAAGTATTATCTATGAGAGTAAGGGAGATTCTTAGTGTTACTACTTCAGATTATCAAGGAGCATTTGTTAAGAGAAGGCAAATTTTAGATGTTCATGTCACTAATAAGGTGGTGGATGAGTATAGATCTAAAGGGAATGAGAGATTAGTTTTAAAATCGCTGTTGAAAAGGCTTATGACCATGTGGATTTGAACTTTTTCAATTACACGTTGGAGATGTAAGATTTGGATGTAGGTGGCAGAGATGGATTACTAGGGGCTTGAATTGATGCCCCTAACCTGGGGGAGATTAAGGGCATTAAGAAGGGTTAGAAAGGCTGATCCTTTATTAACTTTTCTTTTCACTTTTTTGGTTGATTGGTCGAATAGGTATGTAATGAGAGCTTAAACATGTAATCTTGTAGAGGGATTTGAGGTTAGGAGAGGATTTTTGTTCACGTTTAGAAATTGTTGATAATACCGAGTTCCTACATTCGAACATGTAATAGCGTTCGAACACCAACAATAGGTGTATCCAATTTTCCCTTTTTCATCTGTTTTCAATTTTCAATCCATCTCAAACATGTACAACATCAACTCAAACTCCCATAATATAAAATGTTACATACAACATGGTTTATACAAGTCCATTGCAGTCATTTTCATATAATTACATGCCAAAATTAAATTTCTACAATAATTTTACAAAACGTGATTCAAAAGCCATAAGTCGGTTTTTCTTCACCCTTGAGGCCCCGAATGCGAGCCGTCCACCGATGTATAACCCGCACTCGAAATATTTTTCCATAAAGAATGAGTCACGCTCGATAAGGTATCTCCTAAAGATGCTACTCTCCAACCTAGATACATATGAAATATTCACATGCAATATTCAACAAACAACAACCATTCCAATCAAGAATATGAAATTTAATGTTGAAAATCACTATATTATGCCATAAAATGAGATAGATACTCACTCATGCACTTCAACTAGAGCCTTCACTAACTCCCTCAACACATTTAATGTCATGTGTATGAAATCAGACATTCCAAGCCCCCGCCATTAATGTTACACATTGAATAACTATTTTATAAAATAAAATCATGTGTCTTTGTTGGGTAACAAAGTTTTGGTGTCTCACCGCTGATTTTGTACACCGATACATTTTTTTGGACTTACACTGACAGAAATATATAAACCAGTAACCGGGTCTTGCACTCAAGGAATTGTCTAACTCTTCTTACTATACCCGACACAAATTGTTCTTTTTCATGCAACCGTGCGACTCAGTTGAACCTTGGTCCAACTATACCGAGCCCTCTTATCAACCACCAAGAGTGATGTTTGATTCAAAGACATGCACACACACCCCCACTCATGTCTAATGCCCAGGAATATGATGTCTCCATGCATATGCAATATAATGAATAATTACAATATCAATATCATATTCATATGTAATGAATGTCATATGGACTATTTCTATCATATTTCAACACATTCCATGGCTAATTATATCCAAAGCATATAATTGTCCATAAATTATCACGATGTCAATATATCATAAGCATATATCAACATTTACAACAACAATTTTTCCAAGCGTGTTATACATAATATATGCAATAACACACTTAATTCCACATACGCATGATATAAACACATAGCATACCCACATAACATCATTTTTCAAAAAATTACAAGCTAACAATTTTTATACACCAATTCAAGCTAAAATTGATTTCTACCCATTTCTAATACTCATTTCATCAAATTAACCACAATAGGCAAGTGTTATACATCTCTAACAACCTACCTATTTCATATCATAGCCCTAGGTAAAAAATAAACCTAATAACGGAGAAAACCCTACCTCTTGAAGCATAAAATTACTTGGTAGAAGCCTTCAAAAATTCTAATCAAGCCCAAAATTCTTGATTTCTCCAAGCCAATTTTTAGAACTTTTGTGAAACCCACCCTTTTTGGTATGGTTTTGTAGCCCTTGACAAGTAGAACAACTTTGATTCTTGGCTCATGCTGATTCGAGCAATGTGGTGGTGTAGATCGTAAAAAGAAGGTGGAACTCTCCTCTTTTTCCCTCTCTTCCTCTCTCCAACGAAATCACCTAAGTTATGGGAAAGAAAATCTGATTTTCTTTCCCTTTTTATACTCCCTAAATACTTGACCCTCGTTGCGCCACACGTTCTCATTTTCCAGGTCCGATTTCATCCCGAAACGATAAAATTTAATCCCAGTTTATGTTCAAAATATTTTTGTACGAACTTCTTTTAAATTATTTTTTCAATTTTCAAAATTTAATTCTATATCCCATTTTTAGGTCACACGAGACTCGATCGCCTCGTAAAACGCAAAACAATCGACTGTCTCAAAATTCGACGAAATTTGTCTAGGTAAATAGATTTCACGAGAGAAATTCAACGGTGAAATCCGTTTCGTCATTCGAACTCTAAAAAAATCGTACTATAATGACAAATTATCGTTTTGTCCTTTTTCATAAAAATTCAAATTTATCCGAGTTTCACAACTTTGATTTTTGAAAGGTGTCGTAATTGAGAATGGATTGTACCCACGAGTAGCCTTCATCATTGTGAGCAACTTTAGCTCTTGCTCCTAGGCAAGTCGTCGCTTAGATCTTGCTAGATTGTAGAAAAAAGATGAAGAAGATAGTTATTTCTCTCTCTCTCTCTTTTCTCTCTCTCTCGACTGATTTGTGTGGAGGAAAGGCTTGGCAGACCAAGTCTTCCCTTTTTAAAATTCTATTTACACTAGGCTCATAATGAGCCACGTGTCACTTTCTCATTAGTCGAATTTTAACCCAACCAATTATATTTTGCNAGGCTTGGCAGACCAAGTCTTCCCTTTTTAAAATTCTATTTACACTAGGCTCATAATAAGCCACGTGTCACTTTCTCATTAGTCGAATTTTAACCCAACCAATTATATTTTGTCACTTGTCATGTTTAATATAATTTTATAAAATTTAATTTAAATTATATTACGTGTTCCGCGATTAAAATATGTGCACAAAATTTTAATCACATAACACTCGAAAATCTAACTATCTTGAAAGTCGATGAAAATTGATTGGTTAGCCCAATTTCGCAACATGAATCCAAAGATGAGGCTCATTTTGTCATCCAAGTTCTTTAAAAATTCAGGTTTTCAACCCGTGCCTTAATGGCTAATTACCATTTTACCCCTTTAACTAAGATTTTAATTTTTTTGGGTTTTACATTCTCCCTCCTTTAGGGAATTTCATCCCCAAAATTACACATACATGCATATATAACCAAATACATATGTAACAAGTCAAATACTACGTTAGGACTACGAAAAATGTACCTCCATCCTTAGACAGGAACGGATAGGTAACTTGCAATTCTTGCACTCCCATGTCGCCTCCTCCATATCACGGATGCTAATACAGCACCTTCACAAGTCTTTCAATCTTGTCACGCAAAACCCGATCTCAGCTATCTATGATACGCATTGGTCCCTCCTCAAAAATCTCATCTGTATCAACAACTAACTCACTCTAATCCACCGTAAGCTCTAGTGTGTACTTTTAGAGCAAAGACATGAAACACTATATGAACGCCTGATAAATTTAGCGGTAACGCCAACCGATAAACAACTGTACTAACCCTCTCAAGTACCTCGAAGGGCCTGATATACCTTGACAACCGCTTTTCCCGCTTCCCGAACCTAATCACTCCCCTTTTAGACATGACATTCAAGAAGACGTGATCTCTAATCTCAAACTCCATAGGACTCCATTGCCAGCCAACGTAGTTCTTCTGTTGACCCTAAGCTATAAGAAAATGCTTTCGTATCATGTCCACCTTCTCTAAAGAATCTCTGATCAAATCGGGACTTGTGGAAGTTCTTTCTCCAAACCTATCCAACATACTAGAGAACAACACAGTCTCCCATAAAGTGTCTCTATGGTATTCAATTATTAGTGGTCTTTCCAGCTACCCTTCAGATCTAGGATATATGCCCGAAACATGTCCACTAAAATCTAGATGATCCTCTCCGATTGACCGTCCTTCTGGGGATGAAAAGACTCATCATCAACTACGTCCCCTCCACTCTCTAGAAACTCTCCCAAAAATGAGCCATAAACCGGGGATCCCAATCTAAGACTATAGA